GTGCCCGCGCCCAGCCTGCCGCCCTTCGTGTGCCCCGACCTGGAGGAGCAGAGTCCGACGTGGGCGGTCGTGCTGCCCGAGGGCTGCGCGCGCGCGGGGGATGTGGTGCGCTTCTGGGTGGACCGCTGCGGCCGGCTCTTCGTCAAGGTCAACGCCGGCCTCCCGCTCCTGCTGCGCAAAGGCGTGCTCATGGGCGCCCCACTGTGGGCCGTGATGGACGTGTACGGCACCACCAAGGCCATCGAGCTGCTGGGTGAGGCCGCTGCGGGGACCCGGGCACAGCCCCGGCGCGGGGTGGGGTGGGGGTGGGAGGACCGTGGAGCCCACACCTTGCCAGAGCCAGGAAGGGTGGGAGGGGCAAGGGGAACCGTCCCTCCAGCCACGCGAAAGGAGAGTGGGTTTCAGGGGCGCGCAGGCCAGGCAGCGGCACTTATGGGAAGGAATGCTGGCCTTTCGGGACCGGTGGGCTATCCTGCCCCCGAATTTGTTTTTTAAAACCGTTTGCCAACCTGCTGGAGACTGGCAGCCGGAGCGCCTGATCTGATAGGTCTGGAGTGGGGCCCAAGCCCGGCGTCTTCCTCGCCTCCTGGAAGATTTGGATGCACGTCCGGGTTTGGGAGTGTGGGTCACGCTGAGATTCTCCACGCAGGCGGTGGCAGGAGCACACAGAAGGAGGGGCCTGAAGGAAGGGCGGTCGAGGAGGAAGAATCTACAGCCCTGCGAACTCAGCTGGGTTTAGTTGGGAAGGGATGGCCAGGACAGGGTCTTAAAGTCAGCCTATGACCCAGGAAAGGAGAGGGACGGGTTGCTGCAGGGCCAGGTGAGAGGGAGCACCCGGTTTGCTCTCCCAAGTCTTGAGTTTTCTTCTCTGCCTCAGATCCCACAGCCAGCGGGCTTCCCACAACCGTGCCGTGTGTCCTCAGCGACGAGGCTGTGTCTGAGCCTGAAGGTGAGTGACCTTTCCCAGCACTGGGACTCCCCAGGACTCCGGCACCCGGGGTGGGGTGTGGGGGGTGTGTGGGAGGGGAGTCTGAGCCCTGGCTGCTCATTCAAGTCTTCCACAGGCTTTGGGCCAAAAGATTTGGCTCCGCCGACTGAAAGCCTGAAAGTAATGAACAGCTCTGCCTTCTGGAACACTGGCTGCCTTTACAAGTTACAAGATCACCTTCATGAGCAGATCCTGTTATTTTGTTCCAGCTTTTAAAAAGCAACCTGCAAAACAAAATTTAAAAATAAATAATTAAAAAAGCAATCTGCATTCATTGTAAAAGGCTTTGCCAAATAGAAATGAAGTTTAAAGGATAAGGAAGGAAGTAAAAAAGTCACCCATCAACTCTCAGGTGGATTTTTCTCCCAGGGCTTTTTGGTCATACATATATATGTATGTATATATGGGGAATTATTTGTGCTTTGTTTTCCTTCTTTTTAAATGGGAATTTGATGGCATATATGTATGTACATTGTGGTTTTCTTCCCGATTTTTTTCACTTAATTACACTGTAGACATTTTCTTCCAAGGTAATATTCTTCAGAATAGGACTGCAGTGTTCTCTGTCCTGTGGTTATACCATGAGTAGGTGATGTATCCTGACCTGTTCTGTCCCCTTTCCAGCCCCACCAGGAAAAGAGTGTGCCATCTGCTTCCACCACGCTGCCAACACCTGCCTTATCCCCTGCGGCCACACACTCTTCTGCAGCTCCTGTGCCTGGCAGGTCTTCAAGGACACCGCCAAGTGCCCTGTGTGTCGCTGGCAGATCGAGGCGGTGGCCCCCACACAGGGTCCTCCTGCTCTGAGGACTGAGGGGGGTTCATGAAAGGAGAAGGCTTCACAGTGTGGGTGGCAGATTGTGTCTAGATCTGAGCTGAGCCCTGCAAAGGGAGGAGGTGGAGAACTGCTCTCTTTCTGGAGAAGCATCAAAAAGGCTGGTCAACAACACACGAAGCAGACAGAGGAAGGCGAAGGAGTGGCGGCCGCTTCCCCACCATTTCCCCAACTGATGTTTGGGTAGGGGCCAGTGGAGCAAAGAGAAACCCCTCTTTCTGCCCGTGCCAGAACTGTCCTTCTGATGGGTGCTTTGTTCAGAGAGAGGCTAGCCTGATCCCCCATTCTGCAGCTGAGGAAGTTCAGGTATCCGCCCCATGTGTGGTGGAAGCCCTGTGCACTTGAAGTACTGAAGCACTTGGACTCCACCAGTAGCAGGAGGTGTCTAGGTGGAATGTTCACTTCCAGTGTGTCTCTCATGAAGTGGACTATAGTTACCTGCACTGCCTGCCTTTCAGGGTGGTTGTGGGGTCCCAATGAGATCATGCATCTGAAGGTGACTTAATACTTTGAAAGCACATTGTTGTGGTGGTGGTGGTGGTGATTTCCTTGCCAGTTTCTGAGAGATCAAAATAAAGTTTGCCTTTCATGGGTGATTTTGTAATGACTATGTGTCCCCTTTGAAACAGTCAGTGGGAGTGGGGAGCTGTGACCTGGTCAGGATAACGTGGTGTTTAGGGACGTGCTGACCTGTCCTCCCCAGACACTCTGGACTTTCAGGTAGACTGTGGGGTCCTGGGCACTCAGGCCTGTGGACTCTGGGCACACGGAGGAGATGTCCTGTAATCTCAGCCCTCAAGTTCCAACCAGATTTTGCCTTTGCCACCCTTGATATTGGGGGACTTCCTAGAGGCTCTGGTCCCTGACTAAAGGCAGGAGTTGACATGGCAGCCCAGGTCAGTGGGTGTCTGTGGCAGGGGCAAGCTGTGCCTGCTACTTTGCTATGGTTCTCTGCTCTGTGACTGGTAGAGGGGCATCTACTCGGGGAGAGGGCTATGTGAAGGGGAGTTCAAAATTGTAAGTATGAGCACCTCCACAAACTGTGTCTCTGCCCACCCCATAGCCAACCAAAGGGTCAGGATGTTGGATTTGACGACACTAGAATTATCTTTCATTCTGGAATAGGATCTCCTCCCTTCTACCCACAAGTGCTCTAACCGTGGGCGTGTGGCTTGACTTCTGTGAACCTCAGTTTCTTTATAAAATGGAAATAAGATAATTTTCTTGACTGGGTGCAGTGGCTCACGTCTGTAATCCCAGCACTTTGGGAGGCAGAGGCAAGAGGATTACCTGAGTCCAGGGGTTCAAGACCAGCCTGAGCAACTTGGTGAGACCTTGTCTCTACAATTAATAAAAAAATTAGCCGGGCATGGTGTGCATGCCTATGGCTCCAGCTGCTTGGAAGTCTGAGCTGGAAAGGTCACCTGAGCCCAGCAGGTCTGGGCTGCTATGGCCATGAGCATGCTACGACACTCCATCCTGAGTGACAGAGTGAGACTCTGACTCAACTAATAAAATAATAATAATATTTTTCTTGGATAAGTTGTAAGGATCATGAGTAGGAAAATTTTGGGGTCGAAGTCTCACCTTTGCCCAGGCTGGAGGGAAAGGCATGCTCATGGTTACCACAGCCTCGAGCTGCTGGGCCCAGGCAATTCCTGATCCCTCTGCCTCAGCCTTCTAAGTAACTGGGACAAGTGTGCATCACCACGCCTGGCTAATTTTTTGATTTTTGATGTATCTTAGAGATGGGGGTGCACCAAGTTGTCCAGGCAGGTATCAAACCCATGGGCTCAGGCAATCCTCTCACCTCTACTTCCCAAAGTGCTGGGATTATAGGCATGAGCCACCACACCCCACGATTATTATTTTTTTAAGTCTGGGTTTCAGTCTGTCACCCAGACTGGAGTGCAGTGACACAAGTGCAGTGGCAGCCTCGACCTCCTAGGCCCAGATATTCCTTCTTGCTATGTTGTCTAGGCTGATCTTGAACTCCTGAGTTCAAACAACCTTCCGGCCTCGTCCTCCCAAAGTGCTGAGATTACAGGCGTGAGTCACTGCACCTAGCTGGCAACTTCTAACTTAAAAGAAGCACTCAAAATATGACAGCTTCCTTCCCCTGGAAAAGACATCTCTAGGGGAAGGACCAAAGAGCGCACTAGGCTGGGTATCAGGGTTCGAGTGTGAGTGCTGACAGTCCACTGACTTTTACCAAGGCCCACCTGTCGCCTCAGCATTTTAGAATGATTCCTATGGATCCTGAAACAAATTTTTTTCATCTTTAAGTTCCTCCCTCCCTCCCTCTTCTCCCCTTGCTCCCCCCTCCTTTCTCTCTCTCTCTCTTTCTCCCTCTTACACCAAATAGCTTCAGGGAGAGGCAATACTTTAATCCTATTTCCAATGAATAACTACCTTATTCATTAGCACCTAGGCAAGCCTGATCTTAGAAAAGATCTCTAAACAAAGGCAAGACTTCTGTACGTTCTGTAAGTAAGGACCTTGGTAAATGCATTCCTTCATAAGAGCAACAAAATACGGGCAACGTTATCAAAATCAACTTTTTCAGACTTCTGGAAATTAACCAAAGGCTAACACTAATCTGAAGAATGCTTATCCAATATAAAATGTTAAACTCTGGCAAGAACAGTAGGCTTTGTGGTGTTTTAACTACATCACCCCTCATCCTGCACCTCCACAGTAGCCTTGAAAACCAGCAGCCTTGAAGTCAGTCGGGGATGGGAGTTGGTGGGTACAGATTGGGCTGGGAGCTCCTTAGAAAGCTTCATCCCCAGACTATTGTCACTATGGGACTTGTATCTCAGATCTCTAGAAAAGCTTCCTTTATGGGGTGATGTCATGTAACCCTACTTGGGCTCTCTCCATGGGAAAACCCCCATTCTTAGGACATTTGCCAAACATAATCAGCTTCAATTGTTTAGCATCATAGTCTTTAAGTCTGTGATGCCAGCTGAGGCAAACAAGAGCCTGGTCTAAAATTTAAAAGGAAGATCTGGGAGAGGAGATGTCCATAGAGGACTTTGAAAAGTTCCAATATATTCTTGGGGATCTAAAAGGCTGTGTGCATGCTCAGGCAAGACCTGAGAGAGCCCCAGTCTCTCACTTCTGGCTGACTTTGAGGCCCTTTGCAAGTAGGGAGTAAAGAAGGCTCAGATATCTTCCTAAGAAGGCTGTGAACTGCCTGAGCATTGAAGGTGTGCCTCAACCCACAGACAGAGCTCCTTGGCAAAGGTAGATTTACTAGCTCAGGGCATTTAAGGCAATCTCTGTCTAATCATTAACTGACCACTGAACTAATTGAGAAGAGACTTCAGTTGGCTGCATATTATAGGGAATACAGACGTTACAGAATTAGTCCAGGAAAGTGACTAAACAAACAAACGGCAATAACATCAAAATAGCAACAACAACAAATCCTGTAAGGGAAGGTGTCTGATTTTCAGGATTTCCAAATCATATTATCTAAAAAGTTTTAGTTTTTTTTTAAATTATGAGAACTGTAAAGAAACAAACTGTTGCCTGTGCACAGGAAAAGAATCAGTCACTAGAAAATGTCCCTGAGAGAACCTAAGATATTGAATTTACTAGACAAAAACTTTAAACCTGCTATTACAAATATGCTCAAATAACTAAAGGAAATCATGTCTAAATAGCTAAAGGAAAGAGTGTCAATGATGTCTCACCAAAGAAAGAATACCAATCTATCATGAAGATAAAAATTACAAAAAAAAAAACTAAATAAAAGTTATGGAGTTGAAAAGTATAATACCTGAAATAAAAAATTCACTAAAGGGGCTCAACAGCAGATATAGACTGGCAGGAGAAACAATCAATGAACTTGAAGATAGGTTAACAGAGATTATCTAGTCTGAGGAATAGAGAGAAAGAAGACTGAACAAAGCCTCGAGAACCATGGGAAACCATCAAATGTCCCAACATACATGTAATAGGAGTACTAGAAGGTAATAAAGGGAGAAAAGGGGTAGAAAAATTTGTAGAAGTAAAGTACTAAAAGTTTCCAAATTTGATGAAAAACATTAATTTACACATCCAAGAAGCTTAATAAACTTCAAGGGGGATTAACTTGAAAGCTAGTTCTCATTCCAATGTGCCACTCTGGCTCGACCCTAAGTAGAATAAACTTAAAGAGATCATACCAAGGCCTATCATAGTCAAACTGTCAAAAACCAAAGACAAAGGGAATCTCAAAAGCAGCAAGAAAAAAATAATTTGTCACATACAAGGTATCCTCAATAACAGCTGACTTCTCACCAGAAATCATGGAGGCCAGAAGGTAGCAGGATGATATATTGAAAGTACTGAAAGGGAAAAACTGCCACCCCCAAAATTCTAGAAAACTTTTCTTCAAAAGTGAAGAAGAAATTAAGACATTCTCATATAAACAAAAACGGAATTCATTGTTAGCACACCTGCTGTACAAGAAATAACACTGGAATTCCTTCAGATTGAAATAAAAGAGTCATCTCTAACCTTTCTCCAATTTTATAGATGGGAAAACTGAGGGGCAGGTAGGAGGAATGATCTTATAACTGATAGGACAAGAATTAGAATTTTCACACTGATGCAATCATTTCTTCATTCATTGAATTAATTCCAAGAACATAAAGCACCCAACTCTAGAAGGCATCCGAGTATGAGCACAGCCTTATCTGTGTCCTTAGAAGCAACACTGGAGAATAAATAATTATAGCCCAATGTGGTAAGTATTAAAGTAGTCTATATAAAGATCTTTTTGACTTCCATTTAGGTTGGTAGTTGACAAACTGAGCACTTGTAGCTAATTCCTTTTATTACAAGTCCCTATAAATTGCTCAGGATGATTGACATAGATTAATTTCTACCCTAGAAATAATATAGGAAACATCTGACCACCGGGCACAGTGGCTTACACTTGTAATCCCAGCACTTTGGGAGGCAGAGGTAAGAGGATTGCCTGAGTCCAGGAATTCAAGACTAGCCTGGACAACTAGGCAAGACCTCATCTCTACAATAAATCAAAAAAATTAGCTGATGTGGTGGTGTGTGCCTGTGGTTCCAGTTACTTGGAAGGCTGAGGTGGAAGAATCGCCTGAGCCCAGTAGGTTGAGGCTGCTGTAGCCATGAGCATGTCACTGTACTCCACTGGGCAACAGAGTAAGAATGACTCAAAAAGAAAAAATAGAGACAGAGAGAAACATATGGAATCAGATTAAATATGAAAATTGCCAAAATGTCAGAGAAGAGCAAATGGTAGCAGCAGTTCTTGGGATGCTTCAAATCCAGGACTTATAAACTGGGAGTGGAGGAGATCCAGGGTCAACTGACCATGTCTGGTTGAAGTATCACAGAATAGACACCCAGGAATGTTTACCTCAGGCCAGATAGTGAGCCACAGGAATGTCTGCCCATGGACAGGAGCAGTGAGAGGTAAATACCTGGATCTGAGAGCAAGGCAAAGCTCCAGAGAGTAACAGCTCCCTAGGGGAAGAGGAAACTTCCAT